AGCCATCCAAGAACTGAGATAAAAACAAACATATGATGTCACTAAATTTCAAAACCTAAAGGCCAGCATAACGGCTTAAAATGAAGAAATTCCAGGGGACAAAAAAGATGAATGGTTAATGCAATGCTCATCAAACTTATAAGTACAGCCTGCCAAAATATATGCACCAGTTTTCAGAATTGTGAGCAAAGACTGGGTATATTAAAGGGAAGGAATCAAACTAACAAATACCAAGGCCACAAAAGACAGACCAGTTGATATTGCAAAAGATATTAAACATTTATAGTATCAGCAACACTTGGCTTGGCCACATAAACCTGCTGGAAACACCTCTCAAATGCAGCATCTTTCTCCACATATTTCCTGTACTCCTCCAGAGTTGTAGAGCCAATGCAACGCAACTGACCTCTTGCAAGCATAGGCTTAAAGAGATTAGCAGCATCCATTGGATCCCTCAGTGCGCCCAACACCTAACACTAGATGAATTTCATCAACAAATAGAAATACTTTCCCTTCAGCTTCTTCAACTTCCTTTAGTACAGCCTTCAACCTCTCTTGAAATTCTCCCCTGATCCATGAACTCCCAAATGAATTTGATACAGCCTTCAACAATGAAACCTTCTCCAAGTGAACAACAGGGCAAGTTTGCACAATTGAATCACCAGCCTGTTCCTCCAAAGCACCATGAATAACCTCAGCCGGCCTCTCAGACAATGAATCCTTTTCCTTAGCTGAATCAACTGAAGCATTGTGTTTGGTATCTTTATTCTTTTCAAAATTATGTGATTCATCATCTGAACTGCTACTGCTACTACTAGAACTCCCTGATACAGCTCCATCATATGATTTCTCAGGGAGGTCATCATACTCAACCACAACGAAATTTGAAGTCTGCTCTCCCTTCTCCACCTCTTCCTCCTCCTCTGTGAAATGTTGCTGGTGGCTATGGTGGTCCTGAGACGCAGGAGAGCTGACCTCTCCACCATCCGTCTCTTTATCATCTTGGTGCTTCGAATCATCATCTCCTACCATAGTTTGATTGATTCAGAAAAGTTTGATGCAAAATCAAGAAAGGCCACACAAACTAACAATTATCTACAAAGCAACCTCATCCAAACAAAAACAATTTATTTTTTTACATAAAGTTCAATATTCATTGAGAAACAAATGACCGTCCATATCTCTATACAATTAAATAAGTGCCCTTCTCCAAAAACCACTCATATAAATCAAACTTTATAACCATTTTCAAATACTATATAAAGACACAGGTTCG